CGGTAAAGACGACGTTCAGGACATTCTGCAGACGGCTCACATGCTACTGTTGGACAAAATTGTGGAGCACTGTCGTGAGTTCATCGAGGACAACCTCTGTCCGTCCAACTGTCTGGGCATCATGCGCCTTGCCAACCTGTATGGGTTTTCTGCCTTGAGGAAGAAAGCAAGGAACATGGCAGCGTCAAACTCCCAATACGTTACACAAGATGAGGAGTTCCTTGGCCTTTCGGCACAAGAGCTGGCAGATCTACTCAGAGGCGAGCATCTTTTTTTGTATTTTCTTTTTAAGAACGAAGTCGAAGATGACGTTGTCAGTTCTGTTCTAAAATGGCTCGACCATGCTGAGCACCGTAAGTCCGAAATCCTCATGATTTTACAAGAGATCCATCTGTCTTGTGTGAGAGTCAGCGTGCTACAGAAACTCGAGTCACACCCTTTGATACAAGAGTCCGCAGAATGCCTGGCAAAGATCACAGCAGCTAAGGAGAAACATCTTCTCGGTACACAGGTAAAAGGAGAAGATGCAAGTGTTCCTAGACGCGGGATATCGGACGATCTGGCAATTATTGTCGGTGGTTGAAGGCAGTCGGTGGAAAGCCAATATAATTTGCTTTGAACCAGACTGTCAGCAATACTACCACATCACCACCCTCCCAACACCTGCTTCTGAGTACATGAGCGTGGCAAGTGCAGGGAGACACCTGTATGTGACAGGTGGGCGGGTCCATCCCGTGGTCGGCCAGGGTCCCAAATCTTTCTCCAGGCAAGCCTTTCGGTACGAGTTCCCTTCGGACACTTGGCTGAGGTTGCCCGACATGCCTCGCGGCTGGGCAGAGCATCAGTCAGTGGTCGTTGACGGTAAACTCTTCGTGGTCTACCAGACGTCTTTGATGACCATGGGCATGGATTGCTATGATCCTGAAGAGGGGGCTTGGATGTACATAAACGAGCGACCATCACTGGGCCCTTCATCAAAATGGATGGTAACAGCATCCGGAGACAAGGTTGCTATTATCGTGTCAAAGGCAAAGATCATCCAGCGAAGAAAGTACCCTTGGGGGTGGGGGCCGTCTTGGTTAGTCCGTGTGTTGTGTGTTCATGCGTTTGATGTGAAAACCAAAGATTGGAGCTACGCCGATATCCAGATGGATAAAGTCCAGTCAAGCCAGTCTGTGGAGGAGGACGTGGACATCCGCACTACAACTGACACTGACAAGCTTTATATCCGTACTGGATGTACCGAGGAATCCGACTTATACATCTTCGATGCCAAAGAGGAGACCCTAACGAAGGGTGATCAACGAGATTGGCATGAGAACGTCCTTTGCGTGCAATGTAAGCGCAGCTACCGCTACGTGAAACAGAAGGACGAGGGTAACGGCATCGTGGATACCATTTGCTACGAGCTTAGAGACAACAACAGCTCAACGCAGACGTTTGGAGCCCACCACATCCCCGAAAGGCAGACGCCTCGAGACCACTCCATCCCCGCAAGTTCAAAACAGACGTTCAGAAAACTCGACACATATGATGGTGGTGGTCTCGTACGAGTACCACCACCACCCCCACGAGACCTCCACATCCCCACAAGGCGGACGTTTGTAGCCCAGCAGACGCCCCTTCCCTTTGTCTCATTAGGCCACAGCTTCCTCCAGACCAAGAAGAGCCGCCTCGGATGGTACTGTCGGGACCTTGCAGCACTGGAGAAAGACGACGAGCGAGTGAAATCAGACGGTGAGTCTATCGAGGGCCTATAGAGACTTGGGCCCTATATGAGACTATAGCCCAAAATGCACGCGAGAAGACTTGAGCATTATTGGTGTTAGCGAGGCAGAACTCAAGAGACCACATGTAGACTACGAGTTTTTGCAAATGTTTGCGTCATTGATTATGGAAATATGGTCGTAGTTGCCATAATCTATTTTAATTTATGGTTTTCTAAATTCAAAGTACAATAAGTGAAATTCATATCCTTTGGCAATGTTTCATTTCAATGTCCTCATTAATTATGCAAACGACACCAACATAAACATAATATATGCATAGTGATGTTAACCTTTAAGTAACCTATCATTCACCATTAAGGAATCATAGGATTTTCACATAACTTATGCAAATTAGGTCATTATTTGTATAATTGGTATCTGTTGGTGTTCTGCCAGCCATAGATTACATAAAAAAATTATAAATACATGTATGAAAGTACTTTTATATAAAACACTGTAATCATAGAATTTCCTCCTTAATCATGTCAATTAAGTCTTCATTTGCATAATTTGAATCAAGTTATGTACATGTACATCTATCTCTAAGCTACCTACATACAAAAAATGATGAAAATACGTTTCGTTTTGAAGTTATTCGTTTTCAAAGATTTTGCCAAACTCCCCTGCTGTTCCAGAATCAGCCGCTAGGGGGATAACCCACACCAGTTATTCCTGATAGGGAAAGCTATCTGTCACCAAAAAGTAAATACCATAGCATGTTCAGGAAAAAGATACAAAAACCGGAAGTTCTGCTGCAGTACTAAAGGTCAGCCACCAGGAGGCCCATTTTTGACCTCGACCTTTGACTTCCTACAACTATGGAGTTCCTGAAGGCCAATGACCGGCAATGGGCCTTGCTATTGAAATACATGGTAAACATGTAAGAAAGAGGGTGTCAAAAGTCACTTACCTAAGTTTTAGTCCATGAAAAACTCGCATTGGCTGGGGTGTCTGACCTCTAAAGTGTCAATCTAGAGCAAAATTTCCACTTTCTATACGGTGCAACACGTCCGTACTCAAATCAAAACAAACAACATGACCTCTGACCCCTCTTTAACACATCCAAACCACACCAAACCACAACATTTCTACAGCCTACAGACACCACAAAAATGGGTGACAGTCAGATTTTTCAACACAATCAAAAAGGAAAAACCCTTACCTGTATCATCCAGCTCCAAAATCCAAACACATTCCAGTAAAATAACACTTTTATACCTACATTTGCCAGCAGTGCTATGGGCTAAAAGTGTGGCTTCTACGCCTGCGCCATTACCGGCCTTTGCCCTCCATGCCACAACCTACCAAATATCATTAGTGTTCTGGTGTTATGATGACTACAAATATGCGAAAACACACATAGACACAGACCAAAAACAATACCTCCATTTTTCACGGAGGTAATAACATCAATTCAAGGACGTTAACAAACCTTGTGTCTTGAGTCAAATTGCGGGTGCCAATATCATGCCATGTTACACCCATCGCAAAAAGTCAGTCACTCATTTTTTTATAACTGTAAAATAACGCGATGCCTTTCGGGATCAGGCCCAATGTCAAGATGATATTGTCTGGAATCAAGGCGTAAATGATATAATGGTACTAGTACCTTGAAAGCAAGAATATGGGTACATTGAAGAGGGTATAGGGTTCTTGCTGTCGGTTTGAGAGCTGTCCCAGGGTGAACGATCTACTACAAATTTGTGCCAATTCATAGTCTTAACTTATAGGGCTTGCAGTAGCCTGACTAAATAGCGCTCCTAGCGGCCCACCCCGGGCAGGGAAAGTCGAGGAGGGCCGGAGGATTTCATTTTCAGATACTAGGTTTGCGAGCTACCTTCATAAGCCACGTTAAATCATGATGGATGGACTTTTAGACTGATATTGGTCCCTGTATCGAATAGTTGTAAATGCACAAAAATAGACACTGTATGTGTGCTTCACAAAATGGCAAGCTATTGTGTTGGTTCATAGCCGCTCCCATGTCAGAGTTGACACTTTGACATTTCAGTAGTCGCATGGCTCACAATAAGGCTTAAGTGGAAAAACGAGTTACAGCTCATTTACATACGTAAGTGAGTTCGTGGCGGATCAGCGCGGAGATATCTCTGAGATTGCTCTCCGATTTGTGCTTCACAGGTGAGAACATATTCACTGTATACATTCTAAATCTCCGAGGCAAGTTTATCAAGCTACACTTTATCAACTACATGTATAGTACACAGCAGAAACCGTCTGGAGGTCTATGTGCTACCATAGCTGCTAACTCTGTTTGAAAAGACTAGAATTGTTTTAGTGACAGGCTTTCTCTGACCTAAATCAACTAGAACGATTTACGCTCAAAAGTTCCTAATATCTCGTTCAGAAAGTGGTTTATGGTTGGTGTCAAAGTGGAAGCAATTGGTGGGGTACGTACACATACTGGACGTGACCAGATATCAATTGCAGTCAGTGCATTATCTATGTTCATTCAAGTGAACGATATAAATCGACAATGAGACCGTGCTGATAATTTATCACCGTTCATCATAGCCGATCGCTTAGGTCTCTCTAGAACACCACAGGTTTGTTCTAAATGCACGAAAATTGGAATTTGCTATCGCACAATCACGTGACACTGTCAGTTTCATAAGCAAGCTATGATGTTTACCAGGCTGAAATGGTGCCCCTCCCATGTCAGAGATGTGAAAGTTCATAGTTCACATAAGTGAACCAACAGGTTAGACATGATTGTATGCAGAAGTAATAGGTCTCGATCCCACGTCAGACGTGTTCATTAGTTTGATAAGATATTTTTGTCACGTTCAAACAAGCTTCTAAAAATCACCAGTTTTGAAGCAACAGTTCTGATGCTAAGTTTCAGTGCATAATGATTTGTTTCAGATCTAGGATTTAGCAAAGAGCGTAGAGAGGTTTATTTTGTTCGGTGTGATAATTGTAAAGAGTCCCTCTAAATTGTATAGTCCTTCTAATGATTAACGTTATCATAACAATCTACATACAAGGGTCTACGTACTACAGGTTCTTTCTCTTTGGAATCATTTTTTCCTTGGGAGGACACATTAACTGAAAAATAGCAAAAACATAGTACACATGCTATCAGAAACTGGGCTTGCTTTTGAATGAAGTAAAAAAAAAACTTGTCGGCATAAGCCCGCGCGTTCCGTTATATTATTCATGCGTCAGGGTGAGAAGGTTAGATTATTAAAGGGAACATTTCCTCCTCTCGCGCTCGGTCGGTTCTTATCCGAGCTTTAAGTATCTTGATAGCATTCCATGCATTTAGACGTGTATGGAGTGAAGAATTGTCAAACGTTACCAAACCCAGCTGTTCTCAGTGGAAAACAGGGCTGAACATCGGACTTACTTGCAGGTTCGGGTGGGCCAGCTAGCTTCATAAGGTTTGATAGTGGACTTTGACATGTAATTATGTTTCCAGGTGTTTCAAAAAAAAGAATTGGCAACTAACAATAGATGATAGGTACTCAGTAGTATATAGTATTGTTGTAATGTATAGATCCCTAGCGCTTAGCACTAGATTATAGCGTTCCAGTATGCAACACTCATGTTTTGCATACTGCATATCCTCTTGTGCATTTAAATTTAGCCCTTCTGGGCAAGAACATGCAATAAAGATTCATATCATATATTGTACATGCATACGTACTGACTTGCGTCGCAAGATTGTGTCTCCCTGTAGCCATGTTAAAACTTCCCTGCGTTTATTTCTGTCCAGCAGATTTCATACTAGAATACCAAGTGAAACGCCGCCATGCTCTAGGGCTATGATTCTGATACCTCGAGTGACGACAAAGACTATAAATTTAATGATGAATTCGTCCGGGTTTGACTGATTCTGCACCTGATAACCCGTACCACGACAGTACAAGGGTGATAACCCCTACAATGGCCCGCAGAAGGAGAGACAGAGAATCAGACGACTATGATGAATTGGACCAGATAAGTACTACATGTATGACCTTGACTGATTCTGCACCTGATAACCCGTGCTACGAAAGTACAAGGCCGCCAGTACCCCCACCATTCCGCAGAAGGTGCTATATGGAATCTGATGACAGTACGCCGCCGCCGCCAGTGCGTATACGCCCACCACCCCCACGAATACGATACCGCAGAAGGTGCTACATGGAATCTGATGACAGTACACCGCCGCCAGTACCTATACCCCCACCACCCTCACCTCCCCCACCATACATGGAATCTGATGACGGCTCCCGTCTCTATGCAAACTACCTCCATGGGGTCGAGCGTACCCATCTTGCTAAACTTGACAACCAGAGAAAGGCTAGTAAATTCCTTGACGTGATGGTACAAGTCGATGGTAGGGAATTTCCCTGTCACCGGGCTGTGTTGGAATCCACGCCGTACTTCGAGACCATGCTGTCGTCAGACTTCTCTGAAAGTAGTTCTGGGGTCATACAACTGCGTGAGATAGACTCTAACAGCTTCTCCAAAATCCTGGACTTCCTGTACACCGGGAAAGTCCGCATCGGTAAAGATGACGTCCAGGACATTCTACAGACGGCACACATGCTATTGTTGGACAAAATTGTGCAGTACTGCCGTGTGTTCATCGAGGACAACCTCTGCCCGTCCAACTGTCTGGGCGTCATGCGCCTGGCCGACCTTTATGGTTTTTCTGTCTTGAAGAAGAAAGCATGGGACATGGCAACGTCAATTTTGTCAGACTTCTCAGACATCGCACAAGATGAGAGGTTCCTTACCCTTTCGGCACAAGAGCTCTTAGTTTTACTCGGAGATGAGTTCAAGCATCCGAGAGTTACGAATGAGGACGATGTCGTCAACTCTGTGTTAAGATGGCTCGACCATGACCCTGAGAAACGTCAAATAGCAATCCCAATGATATTTAAAGAAATACGTCTGTCTTGCGTGAGGGTCAGTGTGCTACAGAAGCTGGAGTCACACCCTGTGATACGTGAGTCCGCAGAATGCCTAGTAAAAATCACAGCGGCTAAGGAGAGACATCTTGTTGGTACACAGGTAGCCTGGGGAGAAGATGCAAGTGTTCCTAGACGCCGACGCGGGATATCGGACGATGTGGCAATTTTTGTGGGTGGTTGGAAGGCAGTCGGTGGAAAGCCAACGCCCCTGCAAAGCATAATTTGCTTTGATCCAGACTGTCAGCAATACTACTACATCACCACCCTCCCAACAATTGCTTCCGAGTACATAGGCGTGGCATGTGCAGAGAGAAGCCTGTACGTGACAGGTGGGCGAGTCCATCCTGTGATCGGCCAGGGTCCCCAATCTTTCTCCAGGCAAGCCTTTCAGTACGATTTCCCTTCGGACACTTGGCTAAGGCTGCCTGACATGCCTCGCGGCTGGGCAGGGCATCAGTCAGTGGTCGTTGACGGGAAACTTTTCCTGGTCTACGCGACGTCTTTGATGACCATGGATTGCTATGATCCTGAAGAGGGGGCTTGGATGAACATACACGTGCGACCGTCATTGCGCCCTTCATCGAACTGGATGGTAACAGCATTCGGGGACAAGGTTGTTATTATCGTGTCAAAGGCAAAGATCACTGACGTAGAAGATGGTCGCTGCTCGGGGCTTCGTGCATCCAGCGAAGAAAGTACCCTTGGGGGCGGGTCTTGGTTAGTCCGTCCCCGGCGCAAACCCTCTAAACCGTCTACGCCAATTCAAGAAGGTGGACTTGGGATCAAGGGAAAGTTGTGTGTTCATGCGTTTGATGTGAAAACCAAAGATTGGAGCTACGCCGATATCCAGATGGATAAAGTCCAGTCAAGCCAGTCTGTGGAGGAGGACGTGGACATCCGCACTACAACTGACACTGACAAGCTTTATATCCGTACTGGATGTACCGAGAAATCCGACTTATACATCTTCGATGCCGAAGAGGAGACCCTAACGAAGGGTGATCTACGAGATTGGCATGAGAACGTCCTTTGCGTGCAATGTAAGCGCAGCTACCGCTACGTGAAACAGAAGGATGAGGGTAACGGCATCGTGGATACCATTTGCTACGAGCTTAGAGACAACCACAGCTCAAGGCAGACGTTTGGAGCCCACCACATCCCCGAGAGGCAGACGCCTATCATCATATCACCTATCAAGCACATCCAAGGAGCACATCCCAGGCAGGCGTCTGTAGTCCAGCAGACGCCTGTAGTCCAGCAGACGCCCCTTCCCTTTGTCTCATTAGGCCTCAGCTTCCTCCAGACCAAGAAGAGCCGCCTCGGATGGTACTGCCGGGACCTTGCAGCACTGGAGAAAGACGACGAGCGAGTGAAATCAGACAGTGAGTCTATCGAGGGCCTATTGAGACTTGGGCTCTATATGAGACTATAGCCCAAAA